GATCAATCCTTACTGAAACCATTTCCCATCGAACAATATCACTAGGAGAAACCATTTCATCGGTTTTATTTATATTACTAGACAGAACCATTTTCCATTGGCTTTATATCAAATTACTAGCTAAAATTATTTTCCATATTCTTTTATAAACACTAATTAGAAATAAACTTGACATCACAACACTCGTCGATAAAGACCTCGATATCATAAAACTCACCGACAAAGACTTCAACATCATAACATATTGCACGCTTCATCACGGTGTTCACAATCACTACATACAAGCAATATAAGACTGCACGCAAGAGACAAGAATACTTATGAAGATATCAAGTAGTTGTTGATACAAGGTAAGTGAAATAATGAACTATTGATGCAAATATTTGATGATTAAGTGATCAATCAAATTCACAAGGTACTGGCCGTAGTAGGGAAATCAGAAGAATGGGAATGGGATAAGGCCTGGTGGATGATAACAAGCTATATAAAATTTACTATTAAATCTTTCTGGGAGGAATTAAGAAGGAGATGTTCACATCAGTAGGAGATGAAATTTATTTGGCCAAAGGGAATTCCATTAAAAATCTCATTTTTCATGTGGAGAGTCCGGAGGAAGAGAATTCCCAGTCGAAAAGTGTCTGTGAAAATCAAGGTGGAAAGTGAAGTGAAATGTTGTTGCAATAGTTATCATCAAGAAACTTTTGAACATCTTTTTGTTCAATGTCCAGATGCTTTAAAACTATGGCAGATGATTATTGGGGCATCTGGTATTAAATGCATAATGACGCGTAAAATGAATAAGTGAAACTAGATCCCAACGACCTTGTGTTAGAGTTTGTAATGAGGTTTCTTGACATGTAATGTTGTCCCGATTCTTGTTTGAAGGAGTTTTGTGAGTCAACGTCAAGATACAATATAGACTCCATAATTGAAAGACCCTTTTTAATGTTGGTTAAGGGTTGCAAGGGAAAGTGCAAAGCCAAGGAAGGCCAAGGCTTGCCCAAGCTTGGACAAACACTGTCCCAAGTCCACGGACCACTTCATGGCCAGTGGCCGTGAAGGTCACTTGGTGGTATGGGAGGCAAGGCACTTTGCCCAAGCTACTATTCAAACTTCATGGACCACTTCACAGTCACTGGTCTTGACCACGACCCATAGAAGTGTCTGTGAAGATTCCTTAGCATCTTAGTTTTATAAAGTAAAAGAGGGCACACTGCCTAGGGACCACGGGCATTACCACGCGCCGTGGTCCCCCTTCATGAGCCGTGAAGTTGGGTGTGGTCCCTGACGGGCTGCCCAAATTTAGGAGTTTTAAGTAATTTTGTTTTAGTTAATTATTAAGTGGTGTTGATTTTAAATATTTTATATAATTAATATAAATAGTTTTAAGTCTTAAAACACTTCATTAACTTCATTATTTTCAAATACCCAAATCAAAACCCCAAAAGTTCTTCTCTTAAAATTTCTCTCTCTAAACTCAAGGAAGAAGAAAGAAACCATTGAAGCTTGGGTTTGGTGATTTCAAGGTGTTTCATATTGGGAAATCAATATCAAGGTATGATAGTTTTGATTCTTGGTAGCTATCACCTAAGAAGCCCTCAAAACTCTCTTTTCAAAGATGAAATTTACCCAAAATTCTAGGGTTTCTCTCAAATAATAGGTTCTTTCATAAAACGATTTCAACTGCTTAAATGAACTTATCGTATGATTAATTTGTTGTTTTAAGGTGAATGATTGAAGAAATTCCCCATGAACCCATGATTTCCCGCAAGACTTATTTTCGTGAATGTTGGCTTGAATGAATGATGATTGGGTGAATACTCTAATTGAATTTATGATGTTTTAGTTATTGAATTGAGTTAATATTCATGTTTATTATTTCAATTGTTGTGTGTGGTGATGATTTGGAAGTATGACCCTTGGAAGGGTAAGTTATGATTCAATTACATGTTAAAGTAGAATTATGCTTGAACTATTGATCCACTTGAAAGGTGGAAGTGTTTACATATTAATTGTGTATATTGTGATCATGATCTTGAAAGACAAAGTATAAATGGGTAATATATGAATATGATGAGGATTATATGTGTGTGATTACTATGAATGTGCTATGATTATTATTAGAAAGCAATTTCATAAATGTTGTTGGTAATGTAAAAGGCTATTCTCACGTATACACACACTCTTGAATGAATGAAGTTTCTCAGATTATGGTAATGAAGATATGTTAATTCAGAGGCCATTCTCAATTGTACACTAATGAATGAATGTGGGGTTTGAGATTGATGCTCACCCGTGAGTTGGGGCAGAATGTCTAGTAACAATCTCTTTTCCTTTAATGATGAACTAAAGAAATTATATACCATATGGCAATGTAGGCTAAGAACCGAGAGGGTATTGAATGAGATAGATACTCATCCATGAGTAGAGAGCAATCTCTTGGGGTGGATACCCATATGTGAGTTAAGGCGGGGTATCTAGTAGCAACCTTTTTATCCCATAACCATGTGCTCGCATAGGATAGCTAGTGGATCTACTTACCGATCGACGTAACGCAAGTTGATCAACTTTTACGATGTAGAGTTTTATGACATTGGATTCCATGACCTATCTCTCATGGTCTATGTAAGTTATACGCTTATTCCCATCATGTGAGATATTCATTATGGTTTCTTGAGAAGATCTATGAAGCGTGGTGGTATTATGGGATGTCATCCATGCATTGCATGAGTATGTATTAAGAGGGCTAGAGTGAGTTCTCTAAGGTCTTACTGACCTATATATGAATGTGTCCTTAATCAACAATGAATTTTGACTTATATGCTTAATGAAATCATGTATGTCTTATTTGGATTGTATTATGAGTTATTCCATTGTCTTGACTTAATGAACATGTATATGCCTAGTCAATGGTGGATTCAAGAAAGTACTTAGTGTGGGTAGTATTATGGGTGGGAGATTACTTATGCATTGAAAAAGCATGACTTAAGGTCATCTTAGATGATGGTCCTAATATGATGATGTGACTTATGTAAAATTTATGTTTCTTATGATTGAGTATTGTGTAAAGATGGAAAAGTCGAATGGTAAGTTCACTTTAGGTAGCCTTTAAGTGGTACTTCGTGTGGATAGTGGTATGAGACACTATTCATACATTGCACAAAGTATAGTTTGGGGGTTACTTGAGATGAAGACTTTAATGTGATAATATGACTTATGGGTTTATATGTTGATTATGTTCAAGTGTGAAAATATGACTTGTATGTTGGTTATGTTTGTATACTGTGCCTATTATGCTTATATTCACGATGTTTTATGAAAATGGCATATGCGTGGATTTCAAACAAAATGTATGTTTCAAGCATGTTTTTGCATAGCTATCATACTTATTGCTTAATTGTGCTAACCCATATTTCTCTTATTTTACTACAAGTTTAGGTTCCGGACTTTTAGTGCTTTTTCTCTAGTCAAAGCTTGAACTTGAGTTTCTTCCAAGTCAAAAAAGGTATGTCCTCATAGATCGAGGACAAGTGCTTAGATGTTCATTTCCTTTCATTTGTAGTAGACTATGTTTAGACATGTTGAGGCTTTCGATTGTAAATGGTGGTGACCCTATCTTTTGTTTTCAATGTCTTGTTTAAATAGTCATGTGAGATGGTAGACTTCCATTGCATCTTTAAATGAACTTTTGCATTGTATGGTTTTAAATAGATAATTTTAATTTCATACCATTTTTCTTATAATCGAATGTTATGAATGCTATGAGGCTTGTATGAGACCCTTCGGGATCAAGTACATTGCGCCATGTCTAAAGGGTGCTCTTGGGGCATGACAAAATCTTACGGTGTTCAGCTGAAACAAATGTGTGATATTTGGTGGAAGTTTGAATGTGCTTCTTAACTTAAACCTTTGACTCTTCATGTGCCTATTTTTATTGGGTGGAATTTTGAAAAAGAAGGAACAAAATAAGTAATGGAGGCAGAATGTATTTTATCTATATGGGGGGGGGGGGGTAACTTGGTTATGTGAGTTAAGTATTTGTACCATTGGTTAGCTGATATTCCTGATGATTGGCCTTTAATGATCATGTTCTTTGAAAATTACAGACTAGTGATATCTTGTAAAGTGGTGAGACAGACATGTCCTGTACTGAGCTTCAAATATAATAGGGATGGAGGATTGGATGCTTTGACTGGCAACTCTTCTAGTGCATTCTGTATCAGAGCTGTTGAGGGAAAATCTGTATATGCAGAAACAAAAAATATTAGGAAGGAATCAGTGTTGATGGAAGAAATGGAAGCCCTAATGTTTGGGGCAGAGTATTGCTGCACTCACAATGTAATGCTTGTTGTTTTAGAAAGAGATTCTTTGATATGTAAAAGGGTACTTAATGGAGTGTGGGAAACTCCATGAAATATTGCAGTTGTTGCAAAATACTTGAAAAAAACATGTATCTTAGGCCTCCGAATTTAAGGGCCTCATTTTTAAGAATAATAAGTTATAAGTTATTATTTCTTAAAAATTATTAAATACTATTTGTAGAAAAGTAAATTTTTCATGAAAAACTGAAGGAACTATTAGATGAAATTTGACATACTTAGATCATTATATTTCATGAAAAGTAATTTAAAATAAGAAAGATTATATTATTAACGGAAAAGGGCCTAAAATACCCTCGAAGTAATGAAAATGGTACACAATTGCCCTCCATCCGCCTATTGGCCCCCCAAATACCCTTCACATCCACCTTTGGGTCCAAATTAACCCCTTCATTAACAGATCAAAATTAAAAATAATTAAATAATAATTTTTAATGACGTGGCACTCAACCATTGGTTGTAATTTAATTATTTAAAATAATTTTAAACCCACCCATTACCCACCCATTTTAACTAAACCCACCCATTACTTTCCCATTCATTTTTCCCTTATTACCCTTCTCTCTCCCTCCCCCCCACCCCCAAATCCTAAAATATGAAGGGAACAGAAAAGAAAAATGTAAAAGGAAAAGCAATATTACTGGTTTATCAAATGGCCTGACTAAAGCCATTAGAACAAGCATTGCACACCATCTGTTTTTTCCTATAGTTCAAAATGTTCATTTGTTCCAAGGTGTTTCCCGAACCTCCTTTTCCAACTGGTAATTTTCTCCCCTTCCCTCGCCGTCTCTTTTGTTCTCTCGATCACTCTTGCATTGGTTTTAACAGTGTGATACTTTGATTTCTAAGGTTCCTGAAATGGAAGCTGAATACTTCCCTCCGAAGCAAGACGTAATTTTGCAGAATGAGGCACCAACTGATCTGTATATAATAGTTTCAGGAGCAGTGGTAAGTCAGTTTATAGATTTTGTGTATACTATTAAAGCTGTGTTTGTCATGTTGTTAATCAGTATGTTATATGTTATTGTTGCAGGAATTTATAGCACAGATTGAAGGGCTAGAGCAAGTATGTATATTACTACATAGTAACTATTATTATTAAGTGTCAACTTTAGGATATATAACTAAATCTCTCTTCTCAATCATGTTCCCAAACAGACAATTGGAAAAGCCGTTGCAGGAGAAATATTTGGAGAAATAGGTGTTTTATGTGGGAGACCGCAGCCATTTGCTGTTCGAACAACCGAGATTTTTCAGATTCTAAGGCTAAACAGGACATCATTGATGAACATTCTTCGAGCAAATCCAGAAGATGAACGATTATTATGAACAATCTATTGATGGTAAGTAAACCAGATTATGTACTGGTAAATTATCCACTGTTGTTATTTTAAATAATTAAAATGAGTGGGTTTAGTTAAAATGGGTGGGTAATGGGTGGGTTTAAAATTATTTTAAATAATTAAATTACAACCAATGGTTGAGTGCCACGTCATTAAAAATTATTATTTAATTATTTTTAATTTTGGTCTGTTAATGAAGGGGTAAATTTGGACCCAAAGGTGGATGTAAAGGGTATTTGGGGGCCAATAGGTGGATGGAGGGTAATTGTGTACCATTTTCAATACTTCGAGGTATTTTAGGCCCTTTTCCGTATTATTAATTGAAAACTAGAAAAAATCAATTATATACAAGTTATTAAAAAATTCAAGTTTAAGATCTTGTTTGATTTTTGTTTTAGGACATTAATATGTTTGAGCTGCTTCTACTTAAAGAGGGTGTTAGCAGACAATGGAGCCTTAGTCGAAAATATTTACAGAGGAGGCAATCAAGTCAGCAAATTTTTGTACTAACATAATTTTTAATTTTGCAGGTCCAATGGTGGAAAAAATCAATTCTTTGAGAGAGATATTAAGTTAAGGAAGGCATTGTTAGAACTCTAAAAATTTGACTTACCATATATAAGAATAAAGAAGAGTCAAAATAATATGGATCTACAGCAAGCAACAAAAGACCAAGAACAACAACCAATAATCCAATAAATTAAATTGAAGGGCAAGGCGGCAGATAGTCTATGATAAAGGGATTGTTAGCTGAAGTCGACATCTCCGATATGACATGATTAGATTCCAGATCAAATTTCTTTGACAGTGGTATTAGTTCCTCTGGAGCTCAACATGTTAAGAATGAAGAAATGGAAACTTAACTATTTTATTTTTCTAGTCAATCAATGGGCTTGACCCAATCCATGTAAATATGTTTTTAAATATTTCTTGCATCATTTTATTTGTATATGTGGTATGTTTTTCGACGAAGGATATCCAATACATGTGCCTACGCCCCTGATAATATGATCGTTATATATTTATTGATTCAATATGATACAGCACGTTCAAATAAATAAAATCATAATTAAAATGTAATGCAATTATATTTAATAAATGTGGAGAGTTGTTAAAATCAGAATTAACAATTAATGGTACTATTATGAGTTTTGGCATGCTACATGTTGCAGCAATTCTCAAATAGAGAGTTTAGATCGATCATATTAAATGAAGAGATAAATATATAAAGAGCTATCTGTTGTTATTTGAAACTAATTGTTTGAAGGTACATAGAAAAATAATGTACAAAGTTAAGGCTTCATTGAGGAGAAAAAGAAAAACGAAGGGTTATAATTTAGTGAGAGGAAAAAATGAATTTTCAGTTGGTGATCTGATACAAAAAAAGAAGAGCTCGAATTAGTGATCTAACAAGGTTTTCCTGGTTTGCAGCCAAGTACACCTGCAAATCTAGTCATCCAAGTGACATCTTCTGCTGGAGCTGCTGATATTCCATCATAAAGATCTTTGTGTTTGCTTGACCATTCTGGATCTCCTGATTCAGTGAAGTATGCACCATTCATGAATAGATTTCCTTCTGATCTCCATGTCCATTGCATCCAAACTGATTCTGGATTGTACTCCCTTTTTGTTACCTGTTTCTTGAAGATGTCTGGTGGTGCTATAAAACGATTACCCTGTGTAATGATAGTAGGATGCATGCTACCACCAATGGCATACATATTCCAATGAGTATAATCATTGTTAACAACATGTATATATCCCCATCGACATCTTGGCATTCTTTGTATCAATCTCTTTCCAAAATGATTGAAAGCTAATGTTATTTGCATAACTTGATCAATCGAAGAACTATCACTTGCACCAAACAACATCACCTCGTTGTGATCAGTGAAATGTCCATTTGATATAGTGATACCTGTTGATCCTTCTACAGCATCTATCAAACCATCATAACAACGTTGCATAGACACATGATCAATCCATATATTTGATGCACCGAAGATTGAAATACCATCTCCATCACTCTTTGTACGTATACCAATATGGTCAACAGCATCCCGAACCATTCCACCATTACCCTCAACGATGTCATGAATGTGAAGTCCGTGGATGATCACATTCTTGATGTACTGGAGGGTTATACCAGCACCTTTAGTAATGTGAACATTAACACCACGAGCATCTATCGTCTTGTCACTCTGCATGATCATCTCCTGGTGCAACCTATTCATGAAACATTATATATATATATATATATATGAGCATTGAATTCTATTTGCATTGCATTGCATTGCATATATATATATAGAGAAACGTACGTACTTACCTAATGTTCATACCCCTTTTAAATATGATCCACAATGGCTCCTTTTGGATAACAGCATGACGAAGAGTTCCGGGTTTTGGATCATTATAATCATCAGAATTATCTGTGACAACATAGAATTCACCGTCTTTGCCACCAATGGCCTTAGATCCAAATCCCATTGCACAATCTGCTAATTTTTTCCTATTGTCTGCCCAATTAGGATCACATCTCCAACACTTATCAATTGGATTTGTGACCATGCATGGTCCAGTGTACTTTTTTGTCCCTAGACCCCTCCTTGTGCTATTATTATGTGTACCTTTTACTTTCTTTAATTCCTTCATCGTGCTGCAATACAAACCATAACGTGAATACATAAAGACAAACATGAAAAATGAAGAATAAATAAAGTTATAACTTACTCCCGAAGTTTTTGGTTAAATGCAAGCGTGACATTTTCAGGATGTGGTTCATAAATTTTACGGGCATACTCCTTTGCTTCTTCGGCTCTTCTCCTCCACACCTCGTCGTAGTGACCAATATGAGCCATAAGACTTGGTATTATTGTAGCAAAAGTGATACATAGAAACAGGAAGCTATACTTTATCTTAGGACCTCCCATCTCTATTTTTTTTCCTTTTTTTTAAAACAATTTTTTATATTGATATTTTATTTTTTTTCGTTTTCTTTAAACCTTCCTGTTGTTGTTACCAAGGTCAAGGGTCGAACCTTTTAACTCTCTAGGGGTTCTGGCCCTTTATTGACCGGTCGTGACAACAAGAAGTTTTATTTCGAAGTTAGGGCTCGGTCTCAATGAGACAACAAGTATGAAAGGTTTTTTTTTTTTTTTTTTTTTTTTTAGCACTTTGTGAAATGTTGTTTAAATACTATTACTTGTGATTAACACTCAACACATAATTTCTAAACTTGCGCACAGTCACTTGTTTTGAAACTAAATGTCCATCACAATTTCATTCCATAGCTCTTTGCTGCAAAGGCATTGAGAATATTTCGCCAAAATTGAAATAGTCAAAACATTTAATAATCAAGAGAATGGAGGAAAAATAATACAACTCACAAGGGTTAATTAAGTGGATGAGAAGTTACCATAATCATTTTTAGTTATAAGACACTAGTAAATTTAGCCCAAATTTTTAAGATGATTTTATTAATTTTCAATTATAAATAAATTAGATAACAAATACTTACATTTATAATTTTAACTTCATTCATGGAAAATCGATCTTATCAAAAAACAAAAAAAAATCTTAAATTAGTACTCCCTCCATTTAAAAAAGAATGATCTAGTTTGACTTGAAAGTTGAAACAAAGTTTAAGAAAAGAAAGAAATTTTTTAATCTTGTGGTTCTAAAATAAAGTTATGTCAAATGTATCAAAATGTCATTTAATCTTGTGATCTTAAACATGCCTTGTGGAGAATTAAAGTTAAAGTTAAAGTATTGTCAAAAAAGGAAAAAAGTTATTTTTTTTAAACATACTAAAAAGGAATTAGGATAATTCTTTCTAAAAGGGAGGGAGTTGTTGGGAAAACGCGGACGAGCACAAAAATATATATGGTAAAAGTAATGGAAATAAAATGGAAAAATAACGACACCAATAATTTTACGTGGAAATCCTTCTGAATAAGGGAAAAAACCACGGGCCAAGAGGAGCAATTGATATTACTATAGTAAGGAATTTTTACACCGTGTAGTCACGGATATAATACTCAAAGTGACTACTACACGCTCAAAAGGAACAACACTCTTTTGGTTTCCGTCTTACTAAAATATCGCTCACACTCTATTTTTCTTCACAGACTATTTTCTTGTATAGTCTATGCAATACATCACTTTACTCTCAAAATGATTTTTCTCTCAAACTTGGTGTGTTCTACAAATGAGCAAAAATGCTCTATTTATAGAATAATAAAACCATGCCTATGTCACTAATGACATATGTAAATATAGCAAAGTCAAGAATTGTTGCAAATCTTACCAATTTGGCAACCACCAAATCTTTTATTTTCAACTCCAATTACTATTCCTTTTTAACAATTGCTTGTACCAATTGAATAGCTAAAATTGACTAAAAATGGGATGGATTCAACAAATCTCCCCCTCCAGTCCCATTTACTGGAAGAAGGTATTTCAACTTCTTTAGAGAGAGCTCATACCCACAAGTTCTTTGCATAACTCGAACTTGTCTTTCGGTATCATCTTGGTCAGCATATCTGCAGGATTTTCACTTGTGTGAATCTTTTTGACGTGAAATGATTCATTCTGCACTTTCTCACGAATCCAATGATATATGATGTCGATGTGTTTTTTTACATGGTACATGGAGTTTTTGCTCAAGTCTATTGCACTCTGGCAGTCACAATAGACAATATACTCTATCTGATTCAAACCAAGCTCTTGAAGAAATCTCTTTAGCCATATCATCTCCTTGCCAGCTTCAGTAGCCGCGATATACTCAGCTTCAGTTGTAGATAGTGCAACACACTTCTGCAACTTTGACTGTCATGATATAGCTCCCCTTGAAAAAGTAAACAAATATCCAGTAGTGGAATTTTTGTTATCAAGGTCACCTGCCATATCAGAATCTGTATAGCCTTTCAAGATTGGATTTGATGCTCCAAAACACAAGCATTCATCTGAGCTTCTTCTAAGATACCTGAGTATCCACTTCATAGCTTCCCAATGCTCTTTTCCCGGATTTTCGAGAAATCTACTAACAACACCAACTACGTGAGCAATATCAGGTCTAGTGCACACCATTGCATACATTAGACTTCCGACGACGGAGGAATATGGAACTTTGGCCATGTTGTCTTTTTCCTCCCTAGCTGTAGGGCATATCTTCTTACTCAACTTCATATGACCAGCAAGAGGTATACTAACAGGATTAACATTCTTCATATTGGAGCGCTCCAGTACGCATTCAATGTACTTCTTCTGGGACAAATAAATCTTCCTTATATCTCTAAGACGATTAATTCTCATGCCCAAAATTTGTTTGGCATGACCCAAGTATTTCATATAAAAAGACTTACACAACTCTTTCTTCAGCTCGTCAATTTTGGAAGTATTCTTGCCCACAATCAACATATCATCGACATACAACAAAATGATGATAAAATCTCTGTCAGAAATTTTTTATACAATACGCAATGATCTGAAGAAGTCTTCTTATAGTCTTGCTCTCCCATAACAGATTCAAACTTTTTGTACCATTGTCGGGAGCTTGTTTTAGGCCATAAAGACTCTTTTTGAATTTGCATACAAAATTTTCTTTACCATCTACTTTGAAGCCCTCAGGTTGTTCCATATAAATCTCTTCTTCTAGGTTACCGTGAAGGAAAGCCATCTTCACATCCATCTGCTCAATCTCTAAATTAAGACTAGCAGCCAAACCTAGAACTGTCCTAATCAAGGACATTTTCACAATAGGAGAAAATATTTCGTCAAAGTCAATACCTTTCCTTTGACCGAATCCCTTAACAACCAATCTAGCTTTGTACCTGGGCTTCAAGTTGTGTTCTTCAACTTTAACTTTGAACACCACTTGTTCTTCAAAGCTCTCATGCCCTTGGGCAATTTTACCAACTCATAAGTGTGGTTCTTATGCAAAGACTTCATCTCGTCTTGCATGGCTTCAATCCATTGATTCTTGTGCTCATATTCCATGGCCTCCTCATAACATTCAGGTTCTCCCCCATCACTGAGTAACACATACTCATTTGGGGAATAACGGGAGAAAGGAAACCGCTGTCTTGTGGACCTCCGAAGCAGAATATTTGATTCGTCCACAACTTCATGAGAAACAGGATCATCAATAACAATATCATTGTTATTATCAACATCAACATGTTGATTCGATACATGGTTCTGGGCATCACCATGATTATCAAATCCAACAACATCATGCACACTTGCGTGAGGAACTTCATCATGATGAACTATACCATCAAAACTTGAAGATTCTACCTTCTTCGCTTTGTCAATATCTTCAATTGTTTGATTCTCAATGAAAATAATATCACGGCTTCTCACAAGTTTCTTTTCAATTGGATCATATAGCCTGTAACCAAATTCATCTAGGCCATATCAAATGAAGATACATTGCCTTGTCTTGGCATGTAACTTTGACCTCTCATCTTTCGGAGCATGTACAAAAGCTTTGCAACCAAATACTCTCAAATGGTCGTAGGAAACATCCTTTCCATACCAAACACTATTTGGCATCACTTTGCAAAGCAACAGTAGTAGATAGATTAATAACATGTGCAACGGTCAATAAAGCCTCACCCCAAAAAGAGTTTGGCAACTTTGCTTCAGAAAGCAAACAGGTCTTGTTCATCCTCTCAGCCAAACCATTAAGCTGAGGAGTCTTATGGTGTCTAATACCTTGATACTTGCAGTATTCGTCAAATGATCCACAATATTCACCACCATTATCAATACGAATACATTTCACTTTCTTTCCAGTTTCTCTTTCAACTGAAGCCTGAAACGGCTTAAAGACACCTAACACTTGGTCTTTAGTCTTCAAGACATAGACCTAAAGTTTTCTCGAGCAATCATCAATGAAAGTGATAAAGTAAAGTGCACCACCTTATGTCTTTGTCTTCATTGGACCACATAAATCAGAGTGCACTAACTCAAGCAACTCTGTCTTTCTCGAAGGAGGGTAGGACTTAAAGGAAACTCTATTTTGTTTACCAGTCAAGTAGTGTTCACATTTTTCTAATTTAGCACTTTGGAACTTTGATAATAATTTCTTCTTGGCTAGAACATTAAGTCCTTTGTCGCTAATGTGGCTAAGTCTCTTGTGCCATAATGTTGAAGAGCTATCGCTTCAACCGTATTCACCATATCAACACAAGTAGAGGCCGTAGTCTAGTATAGACCACGACGTTTGTTACCATGAGCCACAACCAAGGAACCCTTAATGAGCTTCCATTTTCCATCACTATTGGTACTAACATATTTTTCATCATCTAAAACACCAACAGAAATCAGGTGCAGACGAACATAAGGAGCATGTTTCACATTGTTCAAAACTAGTTTAGTTTCAACACTAATTTCCAAACAAATTGTACCAATACCAACCACCCTAGAAACAGTCTCATTACACCATACTCAAGGTTCCAAAATCACCAGGAGTGTAGGAAAAGAAAAAAATCCTTCCTTGATGTCACATGAGATGCGGCACCAGTGTCCACAACCCAGCTTGACTCATCACAAGCAATATTTATCATGTTTGCATCAAGAATGGTAACAAGATCTTCGGTGGTGATGGTGGCTAGGCAGTTTTCATTGCCATCTTCTTTAGTGTCCTTTTTGTTTTTGTTTTCCCTCTTCAACTTCCTACAGAACTTCTTTGTGTGCCCTTTCATGCCACAATGATAGCACTCAATATCCTTAAGTCTGCCTTTGGATTTGCTCCTATTTTGTTCTCTATAGTGAGAACCACGAGTTTTATTTCTCCCCCTGGGGCCAGTTATCAGGACATCCAACGAAGAGGAACTTTGAGTTTTTCTTCTCATCTCTTCGTTCAAGACACTACTCTTGGTGGATTCCATAGTGATCACACCATCCGGAGCAGAATTTGACAATGGCGTTCTAAATGTTTCACATAAATCTGGTAGGGATCCAAGTAGAAGCAAGACTTGAATTTCTTCATCAAATTTGATGCCCATAGCAGATAATTGATTCATAATCCCCTGAAAATTATTCAGACGGTCTGTCACCGGAGAACCATCATGATATTTCAAACTCAACATCTGCTTTATTAAGAACATTTTGTTGTTGCCAGTCT